CACACACACACACACACACACACACACACACACACGTATACACACAAATCTATGCAAATTTCACCAGACGTCACATCCGCTGCAGCAGTCCGTTCACTACAAGTGTATAAACTCATTCTGAAACACAGGAAAAATCACATGCAGTGCCTACAATCTGTTTCCTCAGGCTAAATACGGAAATACCAGATTGGGCAAGAAAGAGTGTAAAGTCTTGCTYAGAGAAACATTTATTTAGGATGTTTTGCATGACAAGCTGAAGAAAATCACATTRTGTGCACAATGATTATCAGCTACAACATGTTTTATCTCAACATCTGTAAAACTGGCTCAATCASTGAGGTTACCTGTGACAATCATTTTGAAATRGGTTGAATCCAAAAGTTAATCGTTTGTAGATGTTAACCCAGTGATTCATTTTTGAAAGTTTAATTAACATATGTTCAGTGGTTGATAAGATATTTTGCTAACAAACAGACAGAGTTGAAACTATTAACAGCCTTTCTTAAAAACATCTAAAAGATTGCTTCRCTGCGGTGGCCATTTTGAATTGGTTTGAGTCCAACAGGTAACAATTTGTAGAAAACAACACAAATAATTACTTGCTGAAGGTTTCGTTAAAATCTGTCCATTAGTTCATGAGAAATTTTGCTAAATATACCGGCAAATGAACCCACTCACACAGACCAATACAAGCAAAACCATCATTGCCCTTTTGCCTTTGGCTGCTGATAATATTTATAATACATAATGTTTATAATCAGTGTATATTCAGCAGTGAGTTTGGAGATCTTCAGAGTTTTGCTGTATTAGAGTGAGAAACTCAAATTGAATAGTTGAACAGAACAAACGTAACACCGCAAGTTTAGCTGTTAAAGGAAAAGTTTCTGTCAAATTTTCCACTGTGTCTTTTCTCGTGATGTGTTTGAGTTCATGGTGCAAATTAAGCAACCAAAAACAAGAAGTACTTTGTGTTTATYAGGAAGTGCGGACAGAGCTGATGTAAAGGAACTTGTAGTGTGTTTAGCCACACCGCAGCCTGAGGGTGATGTCAGGATTTATGAACTGAGGTCACATTAATCACCTGAAACAGAGAAGCTCCCGAATATCAGTGATTTCCCAAATGTGCTGCGGAATCCTCAACAACTTTATTCTAGTGATCAAAAACCTGCTTTTTTGACTCGTGAAAAATATCGTCCACACATCAGACAGCCACTTGTCGTAAGAGTGCCCAGCCTGCATGAAGTGATGGAGTAACTTCAGAGATGCTCTCTTCATACTGAGCTTTTTAACCACATTATCCAGTCTACAGCCTCGCAGCCTCAATGTCAAAAGCTTGTCTGAGTGTTCATCAGTCTCTCGCTGTCACATTTCACCAGCGTACAATGGTTGGAGGGTTAAAAGTGAGTTATGTGTGAACARTGTGCCACTGGAATCAGCCTCAGTGAGAGGTGGAATATAAAGCATCAATAATAAGATGCAGAAATATTTCACTGTTATATCACTGAAATATAAAACATGGTTAATGATTGAATTGACTGTTTGGCCAGACAATTGCTCAAAATCAGACTTAATGCTGCTAATTTAATTATTTTTTACATTAAAATTTTTTTAATTTCAACAGGACATTATGTGATAATTGTCCATTTTTAGTGTTACAGCACAGAACTGTTATTGATGTCTTTCTGTGAAAGTTCCTGGTTGGGTTTAGTACAAAAAATATCCACTGTGAAGTCATTTTTCTTCAAAAACAATATTTTCTTGACTTTAGCAAGTGTTTTTGTTGCCATAACTTGCGATTAAAATCTGTCTGTTACCTTATATTTTCACGCAGCCATGGATTAGAGAATAGTTTGGGTTCTTTTCAGCTTGAAATTTTTCCAATTTCTGTGTCTGTTGGGTCTCTTTGGGGTCCAACAGAAAGAAATTCTCAAAGACTACATGGTTCCACTAATCTGAAAAACAAACTATTCATTCATCCATTTTCTTTATCATCTTTTGTTTTCCATCGCTTTTTTTTTCAGGTCACAGGGCAGCTGCAGTGCCTAGGTGGGACACACACTGGGGACAGTTTAGTGTTATCAAATAATCTAAAATGCATGTTTTTTGTCTATGGGAGGAAACCAGAGTACTCAAAGAAAACCCACGCATGCACAGAGAGAACGTGCAAACTGAGATCCTGCAACCTCCTCACAGTGAGGCGACAGCTCTAACACCTTTGTCGCTCTGCCACCTTCCTTAAAAAGCAACATTCATGTTTTCATGGATGTGAGAAATCCCAGCAGAGGAGCATAAAAATGAACCAAACTTTATATAAATAAGTTCTTCAAATGTATTCCCATTCAGAATTCACACAAAACCATTCAAGGTTTAAAACATGTAAAGAAGAATATCTGTATTTAAATAAAAAAACTTAAAGAAACACAGATTTCATCTGTAGAAGCTAACTTCTCACAGTGACACACTGACACATTTAGAGGATGAGTGTTTTTACATTATTTATTGTAATGTGTTAATTCACAGGCACTCTCCTGGATCCCAGTGGCCTTTATGATGAAGATGTCAGCTCAGCTGAAAGTTTACAAAAGTCAGTCCCACATTCATCGACAGTGTTTGTCAGTTGTCACGTGTTAAATTTGGCACATGAAGAACACACTAAAATTTTGTTTTGTTTGCTAAAACTGAAGTAGACATCTGAAATGAGTCTGTGCGTCTCTGTCAGAGTGATGGAGAATGAGGATGGAAGGAAGGAGTACCTGGTGTTTCCTCCCAGTAAGAACCATTGTCATGCCAGTGGTCAGAAGGGGAGGAAGATCCCTCTGAAAGGAAACGGACGCCGGATTGACTACATCCTCTACAGTGACGAAAGCCTTCAGCAGGACTGGAAACTGGTAGGATCTGAGAGAACATTAAAGCACAGACATGACTATAAATTACACAGCCTGGTATTGTACTTACCAGGTACTAATAGATACACTTCTCCTGGGGTTTAAAAAAAAAGAATCATGAATGGATCAGGATTTTCTCATTAATCTTCCTTTAAAACTAGTAGCTGCAACAGATACATAATTTATTAATAGTTGTAAAAAAGATGTGTCATAATAAGTTCAAGAAGGACTGATTTCCTTTTATTAAGACACTCATTGAACCTTTATTTTTCTGAGAGATGTCTCACTTCCCTCAGGAAACACCTGACAAGAACAATTTGACTAAAATCCAGGGAGGAAAACAGAAATGCAGCAACACAGATGGGAATCAAATGAATAAAATACAATAGTGTCTCAGGAGTCTTTGTTAGGGATTAGAAAATCAAATCACATCATTTACATCAGGATGTGTGGCTCTCATCCTGCCGCTTCCAGTCTGTCTCTGTTTCTTTCAGCCTTGTGCTGCCACCTGGTAGCAGAAACAGACACTGAGCATCCCTTCAGCTCATGCTATCAGCTTTCAGACGAAATCTGTTGTTTGTTTATAAATCACTTTTTTCAGATTTATTAAATTAGATGTTTTCTCTGATATCTTAAGTATCTAAAAATGATCCAACAKGATGTATTAAAGCAGCTTTATTCAAACATAGGCTGTAGATGTGATGGTAGTTGTGGAGCTAATGTTTTCAATATCAAATGGCAAATGTGGGAATGAGCARTTGTTGGAAATTACCGTACATGTCTTTAAAAACAACTAATTGGACACAATCGGGTCCCATCAGTTCCTGTGAAAGGAAATAATAAATTCAATTATATTTAAATTTTGGAGTGGAATTTCTGAATAGCCCAGCTTCCCTTTTTTATCAAGCATAAACTTGATAGGGAAGACAAATAGATTTATTCACACAATAAACTTTTCAATTTATTTATTTATTTATTTATGTATTTATTTATTTTTTGTATAATAGAAGTAGCCAATTACAAAATTTACGTTTATATACCTAATTTTGTCCACTTTTACACAAACGTCTTAACATTTTTTTTTTTGTTTTGAATGTACCCTCCAGAAATGTTAACCTCTGAGAACGGTTTGACAATCTGTCCACACTAGAGGGCGACTCTAGGATGTTTTAGCTCCAAACTAGCGTTTAACTTTTTAAAAACAAATGTAGCCAGTTAAAAAAAAAAGCATATATTTAATTTGGTCGACCTTTATCCGATCATTTTTAAAGTATTCCTTTTGTTTTGAAAATACCCTCTGGAAATGTTAGCATGATATGAGTTTAAAAAAATAAATGATTAAAGTAATTTGAAAACATTTACTGGTTTTTCAAATCACGAACATYTGAAGGAAAATGAAAAAGAAAACAACAGAATGAATTAAAGCACACCTGCTTCAGAGAAAACATTAACTGGTAAAAGGTTTGAATTATATTTATCAGTGACAGTTTGTATTTAAAAGGTTTTAGGCTGTGCAGCAAGTTTTGTACCTCCGAGTAGATGTTTCTTGCATTGCTATTCTAAGCATTTACAGATGTTAATGTTGTTATAAATTCATTATACTCTTTCACAAATGTGCGTAATTAAAGACACAACAACCTAAACCTGTTGCATTGTTTAAATTGAAATTATTTAAAAAATATTGAAACTAAAATCCAGGTTTCAGTAAAATTCCAGTAATTTCAGTAAAACCTTTCCGTTCTACTGACAAAATCCACAACAATCCTCTTTAATCGCAATTCTTACACAATCTAAAATCTCCCTGATTACACATTGATGTTCCTGAGTAACATTTATGTGTGAATATAAAAATAACACTAAGGATGTTGACCAGTCCTGCACTCGTGAGAGAAAATAAAGAACGTTTTTTTTTTTTTCTGAAACAAGATGACATCAACCAGAAACTGTGATCAGCTGATGATACTTCTCCTCATTTTAGTAACTTAACGTTTGTCAAAAAGTACATTCTGGGTTATTTTTGAATATCAGTTTATCTTGTGATGGAGAGATTTAGAGTTAAGTTTAATAGTGAAGCACAAGACTAACAAATGGCCTGGCATTAAAGGAATGCATGTCACTCATATGCACTTATTTGTGTTTTACATGGTTTTAATTACTTGTAAAGTAGCTCTTGATAAACGGTTGTGGTTTTATCTTTTGCAGAGTGGATAAATCTGACTGTCTCTTGCAGGATATTGAAGAGTTCAGYTTTGTGACCCAGTTGGCCGGCCTCACTGACCACCTGTCTGTAGCCATGCGCCTGGCTGTTTCCACCGGAGAAGAGGAGCCTTAGATCGACCGCCTGAGCTTTCATCATTAAATACTGCCGTGGCTGAGCGGACAGGAAGAAATAAAGACATTCTGGGTTTACAGATACGATGCAGCATGGGGAGAAGATTGAAGGGACGGCGAATAGATGAATCAGTGGGCGAGCGTTCACAAAGTGAGGAGAAAAGAGGAAGCAGAAGAGAGAAACCTTTTAACAGAGAGAGATGAGCTGGGGAATTCAGTCTAGGAAGTCCAAGATATTCATCTTCCTGGGTAAATCACCTACACAAACACTCTCTACATACTGCGTCAGCCACTGGAGACTGACTTTAAGACTGCTGAAGATGGCCCGGCCTCTGGTCCAGCACTCCCTGCAGAACTGAATCCAGAGGGTTTGATTTTGAGTGACGTGTTTCATGTAGCCTGTACACACACTCCTATGGTCAGATCTGTTTTAGCCGTAGTTTAAGTATAATCGTTTTTAAAGACTCTACCTTCAGGGACAGTGGGATGCTCGTTGTTTGGTGTATAAAAGGAAAGGATGTAAGTGAAGCGAAGCTGCTGACCAGCCTTTACACTGACCATCTGTGTCCTTGTGTTGTGCTTCTTTCCTATTAATCAGTTTCACCGTCAGTCGTTCACCTGGCTGCCCTCACACCATTCCCAGAAACTTCAACAAGTGTCTTTTTTCTTAAAAAAGGGTCTTTCTAAAAGGAAAAAATGAACTATTTCTATTGTTGACACGCCACTTTTTTTATAGAAACTTTAAATGCCTGTTTAATATAAAATGCTATGTTTCTAAGAAGAGCTTGTATAAAGGGACAAGGAATCAAAGAAAAAACTGTTTGTTGGATGCAATGTGATGCTTTTAGCATGTTCTTCAGCCATGAKTGGTCAAATTTAGAGGATCCTTTTTGCTCTAGCTTTCCTGATGCATGATGGGAAATGGGTTACGACACTAACACAGCGGCTTGATTTTGAGATTTTGGTGCCTCAATGAGCATTTCGTCCTGAAACACACAACTGTGTATTCGTGCATGTGCGACATTCAAAACAATGTGCGCAAGAGCATTGGGATTTAGGTAACACAAGCACACGTTTTGTACAGGGGAGTTTCAGGGAGATGTAAGAAACCATATTAGCGACCATCATCATGACTGTTCAGTATTTATTCTGAAAAACGTGCTGCAACCGTGTCGTTACGCACGCAGAAAACAAGATGGTGACACATGAAAATGACAGGTGTCACATGTTTGGCTCGCTCAGAAACACACAAATTCTCTGCACACAAATACAATCAGGTTTAAAAAACAATTTAGAGCGTGTTCAGACTGAAAAAATAGAACAAGTAAACTGTGACACTTAATAAAAACTGGCTTAATAAACCARTTTAATAATAGGGTTAAAAAAGGTTAAATATTCATGTTTTTTTTTAACTGTAGAGCTAGCATTCCTGGAAGAAAGACATAAGGGGGCCTCATGCAAGAATGTTTGTATTCTTATCTTAAATTTCTCTTACTTTTGTTCGTTTGAAGGGTTCGTATGAACATGTCACGTC